GGAATTATGATATACTAATATAAGAAATTTTTTATATAGTCACATCTCTTTATAATCACCAAATATGGACTGTCCCAAATGTGTGACTATAAAGAGAGTTGACTGTATTCGTCAAACTCTTAGTTATAAAATGTACACAAATCGATCTCAAAACACATTTACGAAAGATTACCAATTTATTTCTTTTGAAATGCCAGATTTAGTTTATTCATAATAATAATAACCGATTTTATTCAATAATAAATCAAAACAATTAATTATATATTATTTTAATAAAATTTATTAAATTTACTAAAAAGCAGTCAATAATAAAAAATGAATATTTCGTAATAAATCTATCATAAAATGATAAAATGGATAAAATTTTGTCATAAATCTATATAAGATTCAATCATTATGTTCGATTTGGGTATTATCATCAGTTTATGACTGCGATTCATGATTTTCAGCTGGAGTGTCTGGACCAGAAAAATCCGTATTGATGGGCATATTTTAAGTTTTGTATGTCCACTCCAGAGCATTTTTAGCGTATCATGAGGTGATATAATAACTTTTATCATCATAGTTTCCCCCCCTCGTTAATTGTACTGTCTGTAGAGAAAATATATAAGTATCCAAGACGTTTTGAAGAAAATTGATAAGCTGCAAAGTCGTAAAGTCATTAAAACAAATAAAATTAATTGATGTTTTTAATAAAATATGATAAAAAAAGATTATTATACCTCATCAGAATGCCAACTCAAATCATAAACGATAATTTTTCTTTTACCATCTAGTTGTTCTTTATCTGTTTCTGAGTCTTTAGGTGAATGGTAGCAAGTATCTTTCAGAATGTTTAGGACCTCTGTCTTATCATAATCTTTTACTCGATCATCATTACGTTTGAAAAGTGAAATAGCACCCTTAACTCTACGTGATTTTTTCTGAAATATAACAAATGTTTAGTATCAATTTTGAAATGACAGTAAAAAGACAGATTCTACCTTACTCAATCTATTATTTTTATGCAGCTTTCTGTTATCTTTATCAATTACACCTCGCTCAATATATAAAAGTTGTGCTTTGCGATACTTGAATAAAGCAGCTAACCAATCATTTATTTGCTTATACAAAGGACTAAATCAAGGCTTCATAGAAGCAATCAATCGTGGTATTAATTGTTGTAAAATATCCGTGTTCATCTCATTTGTAAATTTTTCATCATATCTTAACGTTAATTCAGAAGGTATCATTTTTAATATTACCTTCATTTCAGTCTATAATTATTTATAAAAGATTCATAAGAAGGATATTTAAATTATATAAAATGCAAAATCTGTTGATCTATAATGAACTCTAGCATTTTTTTCGTTAGTTTCAAACTCATCATTTGATTGATCAATTTAACGTCTCATGACTTTTCTTTTTTTGCCAGGTCTATTATCGTTATCATTACTTTCACTTTCTGATGATTTGACATCAGCATCATCTTGGCTTGATATTTGTGATTTAAGATTATTAATCTCAGCTCGAAGAACTTTATTTTCGTGATTGATATACTTATTATGTGAATGTAATTTGATATAATCTTGGCAAAGTTCATTTAGTTTGCCTTTAATTTCTTTTAACTTTTTATAGACTTCGCACATTCTGCCTTATAAATAAGCATGCTCATCACAGAGCCAACTATATTCTAAATAACATAAAATATTTGATAAAAATTTGTTAAGTACATTAAAATGTATCACAGTTTATTACCTCTCTTCAACTTTTCATAATTACTATTATTGTATCTATACGTCAATGATTCTGATGGTTCAATAAGACTTGAAGAAAAATCATATGGTAAAAACTCTCGTGATAAGAAATCTCTGTGTGGCATTCGAGATAAAGACAATTCTCGTGATTTAATAGTTCTTGTATATTCAAAAGAACTTTTCAGAAAATGCATATTAGTCATTTCTTTATCAGTATGAGATTCTTCTAAATCTTGACTTGTCTTTGACTTTTGACAAGATTCTATTAGAACTTGACTTATATCAAGAACAAATGGATCTCGATAATTTTTTTGGTAAACTTGGCCGGTAGCAGAAGTAATTGAAGCTTGTTCATAATCCACTTTGACGATTTCTTCATCAGGTATTTTATTTTTTGCTGCAGATTTTTCATATTGATTCGTTTCTGTATTATATATTAATAAAATTTTTTGATATAGTAAATATAAATGATACACCTTTGAATAACGAAACAGAATAATGTAAAACAATCAATATATTAACTTTTTTTAAAGTAGAAGTTTGTTCAGTATTAGGAGTAGTTGAAGTTTGTCTACGATCTATTTCAACGATTTCTTTATCAGGTATTTTATTTTTTGCTGCAGATTTTTTGTATTGATTCATTTCTGTATTAATAAATTTTTTTGGTATAGTAAGTATAAATGATACACCATTAAATAACAGAACAGAATAATGCAAAACAATCAATATATTAACTTTTTGGGAGGGCCGGTATTAGGAGTAATTAAAGTTTGTCTGGTATTAAGAATAGTTGAAGTTTGTCCAGTATGAGTAGTTGAAGTTCAGTCCCAGTTCACTTTCTTAGATACTTTGTGAAGTTTTCTTTTATTTTTTCTTGTTTTGGCTCATTTTTATATATCAATAAATTTTCTTACAGTTAAAATAGGAAATTGCAAATCAAAAGTAATTATATATCATATGGTCGAAAGTTACAAATTACCAGTTATTATGAAAATGAAATAAAATTATCTTAAATTTAAATGAGATGAGAAGAAAAGAGAAAGAGAACGTACGAGTTAATGATTAGACGAGTTTTTATAGAATTTATAAGTTTATTATTAAGCTTTTGACAAACTTTCACAGCTGATTTAATAAACAAAAGTTTATTTATCGTGTCTTCTAAACCGAAATGATCATTGATTTTAATTTTTTCAATAAAAATGATTTACCAAGTACAATATACAGTCAACTCTCTTTATAGTGGGACAGTCCATATTTGGTGATTATGAGCAAACAGTCTTATGACTTTATCTTTTATTATAATTTTTAGAACGAAAAGTACAAAACTCAAATTGAACAATATTACAAATAGAATATAGAAAAATAAACATAAAAAATAAAAAAAACTAGCTTCACGATTCATACAAGTAAAGAAATCTAAATAAAATAAAATTAAGTAAAGAAAAACTAAACTATTACAGAAACGCATACCCCAACTTTACCCGAAAGCCAGTGTGAGTCATATTTGGTGATTATAAAGAGATGTGACTATATAAAAAATTTCTTATATTAGTATATCATAATTCTGGCCAAAAATTAACATAATTTTAGCTAAAATTATACTCAAAACTTTATTGTATCGTAACTCTGCCAATATTAATCGTAGAGAGATGATCTTACCGCCATTCGATTCGTCTTGATGAGACGGTTCTAATGGTATAAAATACACCGAAATCCAATCACTAAATTAATTTCCGAAATTAAAAAAAATATTAATGGTTTTTGTGTAATAACTCTGCTAATATTGATCCTAGAGAGACGATCTTACCGCCATTCGATTCGTCTTGATGAGACGGTTCTAATGGTATATAATACATCGAAATCCAATCACTAGATCAATTTCCAAAATTAAAAAATATTAAATGGTTTTTAAGTAGTAACTCCGTCAATATTGATCACAGAGAGATGCGCTTACCACCATTCGATTCGTCTTGATGAGGCGATTCCAACGAGCTATTAATCGTCTTTTTTTCAATCACTAGGTACTGAGAAATTTAGCAAAATGTTAAATGGTGCAGTAAACGTAAATCAAGAAATATAATAATGCCGATGCTTAACATTTTGTTGAATAACTCATCAGCCAGTGATCACAAAAGGATAAAACTACCACCATTCGATTCATCTCAGTGAGACGATTCTAACAAGCTATGATACATATATATAAGATTATTAGATGCCAAGTTATTTAATATATTAAATATATAACTGTAATTATAAACGGTTCTTTTTAATATAAGATTTTTGAGGATAGGTGTGATAGTGACTATAGATAGATTGTGACTATATAGGATAGTTTTTAATAATAAAGTGTTTTGAACATTCAACTGGTGGACCGCCGATCCATTGACCAAAATTTTCAGAAAGAAAATTTATATATCTTCGTACTAACAACTCTTATATTTTACCCAACTTATACCTTCTAACATGTCTAGAAACCTTGCTAGAAGAGGTGGCGGCAGTTATAATCCTAATAGTAATAAGGCTGCTTGTCAAGAAAAGAAAAATAATAAAAAACAACTCTCCGATAACTCTGGTTCCGATAGTGATAACACTTCTCAAAAACGTTCCTGTATTATTACAAAAGACTCCATGGATGAAAATTATGAAGATTTCGTTGCTGACGTGCCAGCTGACGGTGGTTTAGTTGGTTCAACTTTGACCGCTATTCCTCAACAAAATAATTCCCGCAGCACCTCTCAAGAAAATACCCAAGCTTCTACCCCAAAAAATTCTACTGCGCCCACTGCGCCTGGTCAAGACGCGTCTTCTGGAGCTAACACGTCTATTCATGCACCTCAAAACAAAGAAAATAACTCATCCCCTAACGCGTCCCCTAATATGGATGAAAATGATGGTACATCGCCTGATCAAGCTGTCGATCCCTCCCCCACCATTACCATAAATCGTCAAGATTTCCTGGCTGCGGCTGCGCCCAACTCCGCTCCCCAAACTCTTGAGAAACTTAAAACTAATAAGGCAATCATTGAGGCCGTTAACAATTTATTTTTAGAAACATATGAATCGTATACCGGTCGGGCTCGTATGACTGGTTCAGGGGACGCTAAACGTCTTATCATTCATTTTCACACTGCGGAGGCTCGTGACTTGTGTGTTGGTAGTACGCACTCTGAATTTCCGGACCTCTAATTCCACTTGTACGACCCAAACAGCTCCGATCTGATGAAGATCTCCATGCCATTCAAGTCACCGATATACCGTTCTTCATCACCAAACCTCAACTTCAATCCTACTTTAAGAAATTTGGCAATTTGCTTTCCCTCCATCTCTATTTAAGAAAAGGTGCCAAAATGCAACAAGCCCGCATCGTCTATGATCATGCCGATGCTATCTCCCGTTTTACAACCCAATGGGCAGTCTACTGTTTTTCCACTTGTTTGCGTGTAACTCCATGTCATTACTCGGTGGATCAAAAGGCTGCTCGCCGTGAATTCGTTGCGATTTTCTCCGGTCTACCTGCCAATACCAAAGATATCCATCTCGCTCCGTTGGTCAAAGAACATGGGGCTAAAGCTATTAACATCCCTCTTTCCCTTAATTCATATAAACCCAAACCCTGGGCTTATGTTACTTTCAATTCACAAGCAACTATGGATGCCGCTATAGAGCAAACTATCGGTTTTCAAGGTCGTACTCTTCGATGGGGTACACCTAATGATTCAAAGGCCCTCTGCCACAGATGTGGTAAACTCGGTTGTGCTCCTACCTCCTGCCCACTCAATCAACGTCGCGGTCGCTCACGTACACGTGACCCTGTTGCTGCTCTTAAAGAACGTTTCAATGTTGGCCAAAGATCTACTCAACAAAGATCTCCGCGTAATAATTCTCGTTCTCGCTCTCGTTTTAAATTCTGGGATCGTTCTGCCTCTGCTCAACGTTCTAATCCCAATTCTAATAGCTCTAATAATAATAATCATAATAAACACATCAACTCCTCCTCCTCTAGTTCCGCAGGCTCCTCCTCATCCACTCCTGGTCGTACGTCTTCTAATAATCGGAAAGGCAAAGATCGATCTGTTTTCTTTTCATCCAATGCCCGCGCTCCACTCCCAGATCCAAATACTTTCAATGCCCTTGAGGCTGCCCTCAAGATTCTTACTGTATTGCAAACTCTTCAACAAGACGTTGCTTGTGTGGAATCCCGCATTTCAACCCTTGAACTCAATAACCAACGGCTTTCTGCTATAGAAGCCCATTTAGGCATTAATCCTCCCTCCGCGCCAGTTGTCAACTCTGAACCTGATCGAATAGAAGAAGACCCTCCTGAAACTACTGGCACCTTAATCCAACATCCTAATGCTCCCTCATCCTCCAGTCTAACGAAATCCTTTTCCCACATATCTCCACCCAACAAAGTTTCGTACTCTGTTCCTGCATCCAACTCTAACCCTTCCCCGCAAGAAGAATTGAACTCAGTTATCAAAGATCAGAAAGCGATTAAAGATACTTTACAATCGCTCACAGGATCCATTCAAGGCTTCATTGCTTCTCTTGGTGGTGCTCCCTCCGATCGAGCTGATGGTTCAGCTCCATCTCAATAACTGATTTTTAAACCCCTTTTCCTGTTTTTTATAATCACTGTGTTCTAATGTCAAACAATTTTAATAATGATATATTTGTTCGTAATTCGCCCAACCCCGTAGATATTTATAATTTTTCTGAACATGAATCTTTATTTACCACTCTAATTTCTTCCCCTATCCCCAGTTCTTTTAATATTTCATCCTTTAATGTTAATGGTCTTTGTCATAATAGCCAAGTTAAAATTGAACAAATTTCAAACTTTTTCAATCTTAAACATATTTCATTTGGTGGTATCGTTGATACCCATTTATCCCCTAAACAAATTCACTTCTTATCTAAACGCCTTCCTAATTATACTGTCGTTTCATCTGATTTGGATAACACCAAACCAGTTAAATCTACTGGTGGCGTTTCCCTTTTTATTGAAAAATCTCTTGCTTCTCATGTACAAGATTTTGTTTCACATTCCTCGTGTATTTTATCTGTTGACCTTTATTTTAAAGGCAACGTTAAATTGCGCATTTTTGTTATATATATCCCCCTATTTCTGATTCTATATTACGATCGGAAACTATTGATCTCCTTTTACAATTATTGGTGCAAACTAAACAACAAAATTTTTATCACGCAATTTGTGGTGATTTTAATATGCACCTAGATACTTATTATCCTATTTACTTTAATCATCCTTCTACTGCCTCTCAACGAGCTTATCGTTTACTTTACCATCTTTTATCCCATGGTTACGAAGAAACTCTTCCTGTTAACGCTTCTGATTCCTTAGGCACCTTTCACCATGATGACCAAGTTACTCGCATAGACTATGTTTGGTCTTGCCCAATGCTCAAAAGCTTTGCTCTTACTTCCTATATATTTGACGCCTAAGATACCTGCTCTTCTGACCATAATCCTGTCATAATGTATTTTGATGATTCACTCTTAGTTGCGTCTATCAAGGTTGCTCGTGCTAAACAACTTCAACGTCGAACTCGCCACATTTTTAAATTTGATTCAGTCACTACTCAACAATGGAAATTCTTTTCTTCTCATACTGACTCCTT